TTTCTTGCTCTGAGTATCATATTATTCCAATCCTAAGTGATGTGGGAGTTGACTTACCCTTGTGTCAATGTCATTTTTAATAATGTTACTATAATACTTTCCTTTTCAAGAAAAATATCCCTTACACTTCCCACAACATGCACTCACACAAATGAAGGTGACTTTCCTAACATAAACCACTACAACGTTAAGACTGATAATATAATCATACTAGTATTTGCAGTAATGTTTCGCCTTTAGTTCTGCCAGTCATGAATAGTGGATAATACAATACTTTTTCATTTTTGCATTTTAATACATTCTATAGTAGCTCAACTGAACCCATGCTGCTTAGGTCTCCCACCTCATCTTTTACCAAGGAATCGTCTTGTTAACTGCTGATTATGGCAAAGGGGGAAGCGACATTCAAGCAAAGCACTCGTTCTGCTTGTGTGAAGACTTTCAGGTTCAGAAAAAAAATGTATTACTGAACATTCATTCCAATCAGATGCTAAAACTAGCTTACAATAGTGCTGAATTTGAAGACCATGAGATAAAATACTTTCAATAACATCTCCACTGAGTCTGGTTTTTTAAAGTAATTTTTAGAAAATGTAAAACCCCGTCTTTCATTCGATTCCCATAGTGTCCAAGTACTTCAAATCAGCAGTAAAGACCACCATTCAAAAATCCACAGTTTCTGGCACGAACAGCCTTACAACTCAAAAATAGATTCTTCACAATCACACATGGAAATAAGAATATGCATTTATCATGAATAAATTTTTATGAAGACTGACATCTTGAATCAGCCTTGCTTTAATTCAAAGTAAGCCTTTGGCAAGGGTTACAAGCCTTTTGGTTATGCCAACTATTTGATAACGCCCCTTTGTTTAGGATTATAAGTGAATATGGCAATTCACTAGTAGCAATGATTCTTATTTTTATCTAATGTGTTAAGCTGGTTAAAAACGTCTCGATTTTGGACAGGAATGCTTGTGCTGTGCTACGATTGACGCGGCCGGAGGCATAAAAAATGCAGTATGTAACACGGTCGCGGAACCAAGTCAATGTATGCATGTTCGAGTATTCGCAGTTGCTAATGTTACTTCCTTTTGCTGTTGCAATTAACTGCACTGTGTTTCCTTTTCCATAGTCTGTGGATCCAGGCATTAAAACATTAGAGAACATATAGTCATATATTGTGGTAGGAGGGAAACTATAGAGAGATTCATGACTATAGTCCTTCGGCAAAATCTTGGACCTGACAATTCTCTCCTGGAAGATGAACCCGTTTTTGAGCTTCCTGCGGAACTCGGAATCAAACTGCTTGGCATATTCCCAGAAAGTGTTCCTGTTGTGATGGGATCGCCTTTCCAGTAACGCCTCTGGTTGACTGCGTGGCGGCTGGTGACACTAGACCCTTTTCCAAGCCTGCATCTGCCACCAGCTCTACCAGGGCTGTGTTGATAATCGAAGTCATTCCTGAGTTGAAGGTAATGCCATGGGATCTACATTGTTCTTGGAAGTTCTGTAACAAGTGAGGCTCCAAATCAGTAATGGTGTATTCTGTTGGGAAACCTTCCTTTTCTGGAATTCCAAAGGCTTGTTCAAGAAGTGGAGTAAATCTTGTATTTGAATATTTATTTATCATACGCTTGAAGTCCTCTGGTCTGCTCTCCATGTTCTTCAACACCTCTCTTTCGATATCTATGGTTCGTTTCTCGCTCACAAGCTTCCCCGGTTCTTCTTTGCTGATAGGAGAACCCGAAGCCACGTCCTCTATTTAAAAAATGTACTTAACCCATTGCCGCCGGGGATGGCATGTACGTACATGCCATGCCCACTGTGAGTCGAC